CAAGCATTGGGAGAAAACTACCTCAAGTATGCCATTTTTCAACCATCTCTAAGCAATCTCCCAAAATTTCAACAACAAGCAAACAAATATAGTCCTCCACACATTAAGCAAGATAATCATGTAAATAAAAACAACTCTAAAATCCTTTTAAGTGAACCCTTATCAAATATGTTGCTATCTTAGCTAACTAATGAAATGGTCACAACCGGCCTTAAACTAGCACACAAATCTAGTACCGATCATCAAGATAAAGAATGAACCTTTTATTAAGATTTTTTGACTAGGTACACTTATTCTTTTCACCCAATTTTTTTTTTCCAAGGGAATAAAAGATGAAAGTATAGTGCAATGTAATGATCTCTTAAGCATTCTAGAAGATCCATGTAACGAGCACTAGGTGAATGACTTCCAAGCTGAACCACTTTAGGGCATAAGGTGTAGAAACACCCATAAGGACTTACAAGCTCAAATCAACTAGGTTACAAATCCAAACAACCTCAATCCAATCATTTTCCATTCCTCACCTTTAGTAAGAAGTCCTCACTTTTTTTGATTTTTTTTTAAAAAAATTATTATTATTTTTTTTAACCTAGAGTTTGGGCCCTCCACCTTTCGGCAAGAAAATTCAATACTTGATGAGGCTAGAATCCCGGCTATTTAGGGAAAAGGGTTTGTTATTCATCATTGTCAAGAATGAAAGCTTTCAAAGCACTACTAACTCAATTGGGATATAACCAAATCAATAATCAACAAATCATAACCCCACAAATGAATGCTAGTGTGCGCTTGTACAAGTGTAAGACTCTAGAGTGAATCTCAAAGCAATCACACAAACAAAATGATGTGGACCACAAATGCAAGCATAATATCAATTTTGTAATGACTCGGTCATTTTCATGCTTTCCTTTTTTTTCAATAATTTCTTTTTTCGTCTTTTTCCTTATTTTGTCTTTTTCACGGTTCCATTTTTCCTTACATAACCTCACTTTTTGTGGTCGAATTTGATTCTGGATTTGCATACATCCATGATATTTAATTTCCATGATATCTACATTTTTACTTTTGTAGAGAAGCATGCTAAGTGTTTACTTTCCTTGTAAAGGGTATCGATGCATAACTTTTTGGTAATATTCATAACTTGTGGGGTTTTAGTGTAATTAAATAAAGTAATTATTTTTTGTCTTAGGCACCATTTTGTAATTTAATTTAGAAGATATTTTAAAAAATGACCTTTTTGTAATTTTTGAAAAGTGTGACAAGTGTCACACTCCTATGGAACCACTTGTTGACATTTTGGTGGAACCACTTGGAATCTTAATCTCTTGACACATAGAGGATGGAGATTCAACCATTTGTTGGCCTAGGATTGGACCACTTGTTGGCTTGAATGCTAGACAAGTGTAGGCTAGGGATTTAGTGTAGGAAGGAGCCTTAAATTAACAACAAGTGTAAGGTTCATTTTATAACTTGCACTATGTGTGTGTGAAAACCATAGTGTAGACTCACATAGTGAGTAAAGGAATGCTAAATCCTCCATTCAACACATTTTAATTCATCTTCCTCACTACTTTGTTCTCAAACCCTAACCTAGCCTCCATGGAAGGAAAAGCTTGACTCAAGGCTTTGACTTCATTTTTGGCCTCCTTCCACTCACCTAAGACCTTAAACTTGGAATAATTTTGTTTCCTCTCACTCTCCTCTACAAAACCCTAGTTTGCTTTTCCATTTAAAGCTTGGTTACTTTGGTTTATAGAGATTCAATTCTCTATTGAGGTGGGGGGTGTTTTAAGTTATGTTTTTTTATGTTTTATATGCTTTATATCTTGATACAAATGGAATACATGTCTCTAATTTAAATTTTAAGTGAGTAGTTAATAGTGTCTTGTATGAAATTAAGCTAGGACATGATTTTTGGAAAGGCCATGACTTGATTCATAACATTTATTAACTTGAGATCATTTTGGGTTGTTTTGAAATCTAGAGGAATTTATAAATTAATTTAATTAATTTTTATTCATATATTTCCATGATTTAAATTAGGTTTTGAAGGAATATATGTAATGATCATGATAAGTTTTTCAACATATATTAAATTAAGCATGTTTGGATGAGAAATGAAATCTAGAGAAATTAGTTGTTTTATCAAATTAATTTCTATCCTTATTGTATTAATGATTTGAGTGTGAATTTCATGTTGATTACATGTTTAAGTCTTGATTTTAAACTTGTATAATACTTGTGAGATTATGTTTTTATTATTGAATAATATTGTTATAAAGTGTGACAAGTTGCATACTGATTATTCAACAATTTTTATGCCATTGTAGTTGTGAACTAGAGCATGTATTGTGTTTCCAAAATTGATTTGTGCATGGTAGATGGTATTACATTGTGTATATATGTTTATGCTAATATATATACGTTGTTGCACAAATTGTTGATTTTGTAAACTTGGGATGTCGTTCTTATGACTAAGGCTAGGGCATGTTCTAGTACGGGGGATTGTCCCTCTACAAGTCTAGTATACACATAGGGATGTTACCCGTGGGCTAGTAATCCTAAAGTAACTATGGTGTCGGTCTGATCTGGCGTGATGTCCAAGTATCCACTTTAGTTTGATTTCGCACTTTAAATTCCAAGTTGATAACTTTGTGAGTTGTATCTTATTACATTGTGTTGGGAGTTCCAATGTCAGTTAAACATTATGAATTGATTTACATCAAATTGCAAGTTGTATAAAATTAAGTTTTGCATGCTCACTCCCTACGAGTAAACTTGTTTACTAACCCCAAAGTTACCGGGTGTTTTTCAAATAAAGAAACGGTATTATGGGATGCACAACACCCCTAGGCTTACTTGACTACTTGGAGCATTTTTGTTATATTAGAATATGCATTTGTTAGCATATCATGCTTCATTTTTGGTTTAATATATCAAACTTGTATTTATTGCTCAAACTATGTAATGTGCACTTAAGTGCACCTTTTGTTACTCTCAGAATGTGTTTGTAATGAGGTCAAGAGCCAAAGACACTTATGTGATATGTATGCTAATTTTAACTTAATTGTTGCTTACGGAAGATATGTGATTTAATGCATTGAAAGGTCATATTTTGTAAATAACATGCCATGAGGCCGTAGGCCATTGTAACGCATCTACTTTATCGTATTACACATGCGTACATGTTCACTTTGGCACACAATACCATTCTTGATGAAATGAACACTTAAAGCTGCATTTTTTTGAAACTTTACCCTTTTCTGATCAAGGGGCATTTTGGGTATTTCACAGTGTGTTTTTTTCATTTTTGTTCATGTTGCTAGGTAGAAAACTCGATTTCGGGGGGGAGGGGGGGTGTTCTTCATGTTTTTCCAAAAAATGTCATCTTGGCCCTCAAAAATCCATTTTTTTCTGAAAAATCCTTGCTACCAGATTTTTGTTGATATTTAGTACAAGGATACGGGTGGTGGATTCTCATAACCGGTTACGAGAGCCTGGGTAGAATGTGGTCGCCTCTGTTTTTGCCTCCTAACCGGTTAGAAAGGTCTCCTAACCGGTTAGATGGTCTTGGGTTGACAATTTTGAGCTTTTTACCCTTTTTTCTTCGGTTAGCCATATCTTCTTCGTCCGGACTCCAAATCAAGTGATTCTTAAGTCTAAGTTTATTAATTTTTTGTTGTCTTTCCAATGGTGTGCTCGGTAGTACCCACTTTCATTTTTAAAATAACCATTTTGCCCCTGTGTTCATTCTTGTCCATTTTTGAAACGTCGCTTCCGCATTTGTTTTCTTTGGGTTCCGTGACCTCATTGAGGGTCACATTGGTGTCCTAAAGATGTGTTGTATCTCTAGAGACCATTGTTTTATCTTTTGCTTCTGCATTCTGGATTCGTTATCGGATCTATGTTCAGTTCATCACAGGATGCACTGTCCTAAAAACCAGGGCTGTCACAGGTGGTATCAGAGCTCCTAGGTTCGAAAACCTTAGGACGACGGGTTTTGGGTGCATATCATACTTTTGTTGATTTACTTTGATATGTTTTTATGCTATTTATTAACTTGTTTTGGCATTATAACATGTCGATGTGCTTATGTGGCAGTATATTTGGGGATTTGCCTTAACTATTTTAGCATGTTGTATATGCTTGTAGGCCTTAGCATGTGTATATGCTTATCTGGCGTTGGCGTGTTGGATATGCTTGTGTATTTTAGCATGACTTTATGTTGCATACATTTCTTGCTTCTATTATGTGCTACTTGTTCCGTGCATTCGTGGTGTGAGTTGCATTAGGTCTTAACGACTTGTGTTGTTGTTAACCTTGTCCCTTATGTGTGTAACACTATGGTTTTGATTCGTAGAGAGTCTTCTCGTCACGTTCGAGTGGATGAGCAGATTGAGGAGCAGGTTGTAGACACCGGGCTTGCACGGGGTCTAGGGAGGCCTAGGGCTTAACCTCATGGCGTGGATCCTAATCCGCCACGAGCACCGACTTATGAGGAGCAGATCGCACAGGGAGTGGCTCTGGGGATGTCAGAGTCCATTCAATAGATGTTTTGTCAGCATACTACAGGGATGCAGATTCCAGTACCGGTACCAGCACCGACACCAGTTGCTAATGAGGCATTGGACTACTTCATGAAGTTACAGTGGGTTAAGATCAACCAGTTCGCAGGGAGTATGGATCCGCTTGCTTCAGAGGCATGGTTTGATCTTATGGTATGCAAGCTTAATAGCATGGCAGTACCTACTGACCGATTGAGGATCTCCGTAACAGCCTCTATGTTCATGGGAGATGCCGATATCTGGTGGAGGTCTATTAATAATATCCACAATATGGAGGTGATGATTTGGGAGGAGTTCAGGACATTGTTCTTCAACCGCTTTTTTCCGAGGGCTATGAGGCAAGATATGAGAGTGTAATTCACAGGTCTCTATCAGAGCATGATGAGTGTCATTGAGTATGAGACATGCTTCACTTCTCTTTCCCGCTATGCACTAGAGATGGTAGCTACCTACGACCTTAGGGCAAGGAAGTTTCAGGATGGGTTGCATCTTGATATTAGGCCACAAATTTCAGTGTTGGATTTGAGGACCTACGGGGAGGTAGTGCAGAAAAATATGTTGGTTGAGGTAGAGGAACGAGATCAGCATAGGATCAAGGATTCATATAAGCAGTCTCGTGAAGAGGCTTCATCAGTATCTGTTGGGGGTCAGTGGAAAAAGGCTAAGGCCGGGGACAGTTCATGTACTCAGGGACAGTCACAGCATGCTCGGTCTGCACCTATAGTTCCTGTTTCCTTAGGGAAGTTGATTTGTCACCACTGTCAGTAACCGGGGCACATTAAACCTCACTGCCCACAGTTGCAGCCTCAGGGCAGTCATTCCCAGACAGCTAAGTCTTCAGCTTTGACGCAGGGGCTCCAAGGAGCTTGTCATTACTGCAAGCAGCCCGAACATTTCAAGAGGGAATGTCTACGCCTACAGAATAGAGCACAGAGTGGCACTGGTTCACAGGCCACACTAGCACAGTCTGCAAATGTTCAGTTGGGCTTTAGGGTGCCTCAAGCACCACAGCCAGTGGTACCGTCAGTTGGTTCTTATCCGGGTAGAAGTTCTACGCCTACTGCTTCCAGACATCAGTTGGGCTACTAGGGCAGTTCTTAGCAGTCAAGGGCTCAGGGAAGAGTCTACGCATTGCCACTGGTCGATTCCTCTGCTGGGACTTCTACAGTTCGAGGTATCTTTCTAGTTTTCAATTTTTGGGTTAGAGTTCTTGTTGACACAGGTGCGTCGAATTCATTCATATCTGCTTCATTTGCACATTCTTTGGGTCCGGAGGTCACGCAGCGGGATAGTTTCCTTTGTGTTGACACACCAGTTGGGGTCCAGTGTTTTTGGATTGTGTTTGTCGAGGTTGTGCTATCAAGATAGCTGGGCGGACTTTAGAGTTCGATTTCGCCATTTTTTACATGACTGGCTTTGACGTCATTCTTGGGATGGATTGGTTGACCTTCTTTCGTGCCACGATCGATTACTTCCTCGAGCGAGTGTCTGTTTGCACTCCCACGGGAGATTATTTTCACTTCGTGGGAGATCGAAGCGATTCCCACTCAATGATGATTTTCAGTGTTGGTGATTGGAGTTGCCATAGGTCCTACTTGGCTAGCCTGTTAGCTGACGAGGATAGCAGTTCGGGCTATGTTTATCTAGCAGTTGTTGTGGAGTTTCTGGATGTTTTTCCAAGGGAGTTGACAGAGCTTCCTTTTCTTAAAGAAGTTGTATTTGCCATTGACGTCGTTTCTGGTACTACGCCGACCTCTATGGCACTATACCGTATGGCACCGATAGAGTTGCATGAGCTAAAAGCTCAATTGGATGACTTAAAAGCTAAGGGCTTTATTCGCCCAAGTGCTTCACCCTAGAGAACACCGGTTCTTTTTGCGAAGAAGAAGGATGGGTCTTTGAGACTTTGCATCGATTATCGCGAGCTGAACCATGTCACGATCAAGAACAGGTATCATTTGCCTAAAATTGATGACTTGTTTGATCAATTGAAGGGAGCCACTTGTTTTTCGAAGATTGATTTGAGATCGAGTTACTATCAGTTGAGGGTTAAGGATGAGGATATATCCAAGACTGCTTTTCGCACACGGTATGGCCATTATGAGTTTCTGGTGATGCCATTTGGTTTGACCAATGCCCCAGCAGCTTTTATGGACTTGATGAACCGTGTATTCAGTGACCATCTTGATCAGTTCATTGTGGTTTTCGTCGATGACATTCTCGTATACTCAGCTTCGGTGGAGGAACATGAGTATCATTTGAGGACAGTGTTGCAAATCCTTAGGGGTAATCGGTTATACGCCAAGTTTGAGAAATGCGAATTTTGGCTTTCGGAAGTGAAGTTCCTTGGACATGTTGTGTCAGGGGGTGGAATTGTAGTGGATCCGTCAAAGATTGAGTCTGTAATAGATTGGGAGCGTTCGAAGACAGTGTTTAAGATTCGGAGTTTTCTTGGCCTAGTTGGCTACTACCGGAGATTTGTTCAGGATTTCTCTCGTTTAGCGGCACCTATGACTCGACTTACCCGCAAGGGGGTCAAGTTTGTATGGAACGAGTCCCGTTAGTTTACTTTTCAGGAGTTGAAGGTTAGGTTGACATCGGCTCCAATTTTGATCATTCCTAAACGTGGTTTGGGTTATGTGAACTTTTGTGATGCTTCGCGGGAAGGCTTAGGTTGTGTCTTGATGCAGACAGAGCAGGTGGTTGCTTATGGGTCATGATAGTTGAAGACTCACGAGTTAAACTATCCGATACATGATTTGGAGTTGGCAACAGTTATCTTTGCCCTGAAAGGTGGAGACACTATTTGTATAGGGAAAAGTTTAAGGTTTTCTCCAAACACAAGAGTCTCAAGTATCTCTTTTCTTATAAGGATTTGAACTTGAGACAGCGCAGATGGGTTAAGTTCATGGAAGATTACGACTTTGAGTTACAATACCATCCGGGTAAGGCTAATGTAGTGGCCGATGCATTGAGTAGAAAGTCACGGGGGACTCTTGCTAGCATTTCCGTTCACAGATGGAATATGCTAGAAGAGCTTGCAAATCTTGGTTTACAATCTTATGAGGTGTTTCACCAGCTATTTTGTTTAGCCTTGTGGCTCAACCGGCTCTCGTTAGTAGAGTTATTGAGGTACAGTTGGAGGATGGGGAGATGAAGGCCATCCACATTCAGATTTCAGGTGGCGAGAATGTAGAGGGTTGGACCTTACATTCAGACGGTGGCCTCAGGTACAAGGGGATGATGTTTGTTCCCTTGTCTTGTCGTGAAGATGTTCTTCGAGATTTTCACCACTCTCGGCTAGCAGTTCATCCTGGTGGTACGAAGATGTATCACAATCTGTGGCTACAGTTTTGGTGGCAAGGCATGAAACGGGATGTTTTTGTGGCTCGATGCCTTACTTGTTAGCAAGTGAAGGCAGAGCATCAGCGATCGGCAGGATTGTTGCAACCATTACCAGTAGCTGAATGGAAATGGGAGCATATCACTATGGATTTCGTAACGGGACTTCCAAGGTCTCAGGCAGGGAATGATACTGTTTGGGTCATAGTTGACAGGTTGACTAAGACGACTCACTTCTTGCCCATGGCAGTGACAGATAGTGCAAAAAGACTGAGTGGACTGTATGTGAGGCAGATTGTCAAGCTTCATGGGGTTCTGGTATCCATTATTTCGTATAAGGATCAGCGTTTTACGTCTCACTTTTAGCATAGTTTTCAGGAGGGTCTTAATATAGGGCTTCATTTCAGCATGGCATTCCATCCTCAGACTGATGATCAGTTGCAGCGCACTATTTAGATATTGGAGGATATGTTACGGGCTTGTATCTTGGATTTCGGGGGTAGTTGGGATGACTACTTACCTTTGGTTGAGTTTGCCTACAACAACAGTTACCAAACCAGTATTAGCGTGGCATCTTTCGAGGTGTTGTATAGCAGACCCTGCAGATCTCCAGTTTGTTGGACCGAGGTTGGTGATACCGTTGCCTTGGGTCCCAACATTGTCATTGAAACTACAGAGAAACTTAGGTTGATCCAGCAGTGGTTGGCTACCGCACAGAGTGAACAGAAGAGTTACGCTGACAGGAGGAGACGATCCTTGTCTTTTAAGGTAGTGGACCATGTCTTTCTTAAGATTTCTCCGCGCAAAGGACTTCTGAGATTTCGATAGACTGGCAAGTTGTCTCCTAGGTTCATTGGACCATTTGAGATTTTGGAGCGCATCGGTGAAGTTGCTTATCGTTTAGCATTGCTGCCAGACCTGAATAGGGTTAACAACGTCTTTCATATTTCTATGCTAAGGAAGTACGAGCCAGACCCATCGCATATTCTGCGGTGGACTGATGTGGTTATTAATGAGGACGTGACCTACGAGTAAGGTCCAGTTCAGATTCTTAATTCACGGGAACAGGTCTTGCCAACCAAGACCATTCCATTGGTTAAGGTCATGTGGGGACACCACGGCATTAAAGAGGCTACCTGGGAGCTCGAGCAGGAGGTTCACACTCGGTATCCACATTTGTTATCTCTTTCAGGGACGACTCGATTTCGGAGACAAAATCCTTTTAAGGAAGATAGGTTCTAATGACTCGGTCATTTTCTTCCTTTCCTTTTTTTTTAGTAATTTCTTTTTTCTTCTTTTTTCCTATTTTATCTTTTTCACGGTTTCCATTTTTCCTTGCATAACCTCACTTTTTGTGCTCGGATTTGATTCCGGCTTTGCATACATCCATGATATTTAATTTCCATGATATCTACATTTTTACTTTTGTAGAAAAACATGCTAAGTGTTTACTTTCCTTGTAAAGGGTATGGATGCATATCTTTTTGGTAATATTCATAACTTTTAGGGTTTTAGTGTAATTAAATAAAGTAATTATTTTTCGTCTTATGGACCATTTTACAATTTAATTTAGAAGATATTTTGGAAAAGGACCTTTTTGTAATTTTTGGAAAGTGTGACAAGTGTCACACTCCTATGGAACCACTTGTTGACATTTTGGCGAAACCACTTGAAAACTTAATCTCTTCACACATAGAGGGTGCAGATTCACCAATTTGTTGGCCTAGGATTGGACCACTTATTGGATTGGATGGTTGACAAGTGTAGGCTAGGGATTTAGTGTAAGAATGAGCCTTAGATTAATGATAAGTGTAAGGTTCATTTTAGGTCTTGCACTATGTGTGTGTGAAGACCATGGTGTAGACTCATATAGTGAGTGGAGAAATGTTAAATCCTCCACTCACCACATTTTAATTCATCTTCCTCACCACTTTGTTCTCAAACCCTAACCTAGCCCCCATGGAAGGAAAAGCTTGACTCAAGGCTTTGACTTCATTTTTGGCCTCCTTCCACTCACCTAAGACCCTTAAACTATGAATACTTTTGTTTCCTCTCACTCTCCTCTACAAAACCCTAGTTTAGTTTTCCATTTAAAGCTTGGTTAATGTAATGACCCAGTCATTTTCCTTCCTTTCCTTTTTCCTCAAATTTTACGGATAAATTTTTTTTCATTGTCTTTTCTTTTCCGTGTTTGGTTTCTCGTCACTTTATGCCATCTTGAGTGCTCAGAAATGGTTTCTGAGACTCATTCCTTTGGATTGACATCTTCCTTTGAGGACCGAGTCATTTCCACATTCTCACTTTTATGACACTATTCACTTTTCGTCTTTTTCTCGGTTGTCACTTTGTTGGCATAACCTCACTTTTCGTGTTCGGATTTGATTCCGATTTTGCAAGCATCCACGATATTTAAATCCCATGCTATGTGCATTTTTACTATTGTAGAAAAGCATGTTAGTTGTGTACTTTCTTCCCTAGGGGTGTGGATGCACACTTCTTTGGAATTTCTCTTTTTTTGTGGTCATTTGTGTAATTACTATAAAGTAATTATTTTTCATCTTAGGGACCATTTTGAAATTTAATTTGGAAGATATTTTCAAAAGGGACCTTTTTGCAATTTCTGAAAAAGTATGACAAATGTCACACTCTCATTGGTCCACTTGTTGACATTTGTGTGGAAATACTTTGATGCCTTGGATGATGACATGTGGAGGGTGGAGATTCACCCACTTATTGGCCTAGGATAGGTGCACTTGTTGGTTTCGATGGTTGACAAGTGTAGGCTTAAGATTAAGCCTAGGAAGAAGCCTTGGATTTGTGACAAGTGTAGGCTCACAATTTAGTCTTGCAATTATTTTTAGGCTACTTTGGGATTATGGTTTTAAAGAGGGGTTTTTGTACAATTGACCAAGACTTGTGTGTGTTGACCATGGTGTAAGACCACATAGTGAGTGGAGGATTTCTATTTCCTCCACTGACATTCAATCACACTTAATTTCTATCGCTTCCCTCTCTTGTAAAGAAAACCCTAGCCACCATTAGAAAAGCTTGATGCTTGAGCTTTGACGTTGATTTTGAGAGCCTTCCATTGATTTCCAAGCTTGAACTTGGAATACTTTTTATTCCCCTCATCCTCCTCTACATAACCTTTGAAAGGTTTGCCATTTTTGTGTTGATTTACCTTGGATTCAAGAGAAATAATCCTCTTGTGAGGTAGGGGATGTTCTAAGTTATGTTTTTGATGTTTTATATGTTTTATATCTTGATAACAATGAAATGCATGTCTCTAATCTAAATTTTAAGTGAGTAGTTAATAGTGTCTTCTATGAAATCAAGCTAGGACGTGACTTTTGAAAAGGCCATGACTTGATTCATAACATATATTGACTTGAAATCATTTTGGGTTGTTTTGAAATCTAGAGGAATTTATAAATTAATTTGATTAATTTTTTATTCATGTGTTTCCATGATTTAAATTAGGTTTTGAAGGAATATATGTAATGATCATGATAAGTTC